CTAGAGGAAAAATCCTCTGCCCCCGTCGGGGATCGAACCCCAGTCGTCCAGCCCGTAGCTAGTCACTATACTGACTGAGCTATCCCGGCTCATATTTGACAAGTAATGACAAGCAATATTGAAAGAAAATACATATTAAAATCTTCTCATTTATATTAGCATTTCCTAAATAACTAGCTCATTCAATCACTTATTTTATTAGAAACATAAATATACCTAAAAGTACTAAAAATTTACTGGTGTTTTTGAAAAAGCATGGATACAATTAAATTGTTAACATTACTCAGATATTGTTACAAATGAAGAAAAACAGAAATTCTGTACTGGAATTAAACATTGCACCTTCCCACTTAGTTCTGACTGCTGGAGTAACACTTGGAAAACAATGTGGCCACAGTGGTTGTAATTAGGAACCAAATAATTAATTACTGGAGCATTTAGTAATGCTGTTTTGACTGCAGATGTTATATAATGTCACATGAGATGGAAAGATGATCATAAACAGTAGTATGAATCTGATAGGATGCAGTCAAGATCTATTTGAAATAATATCCTGGCACTTGTCTGAACAGGTAAACAACAACAAAAAATCCTATGACAGCCAGGGATCTAAGTGAGACACAAACTGGGTACCTCCAAAATAGAAGCCTAGAACAATATTTTTGTCAAAGTGCTGTCAACTGAGAATCAATGGAGAAATAATTTCCCTTCTGTACAGACAAGCCCCCATTTCTGCTTCTTTTACTTACCTTAACTCCACATGAATGTCAATAAGCAGACAGGTAACTTAACATAACATGAATATCTGTGATACACCTGCAAGACATATGCTTCCGGGAGTGTAACAGCAGAAGCATCAAGAACAGAAGCATGGCACAATTTGTGAGTGACTCACCAACTCTGCACATAGTGCAGAATGCTTTTCCTGAGCATGCAACAGGGAAGAAACACAAAGCAATGAGTGGTTCCCTCTTCTGGCTATATAGAGGCTTGCTAGAACTTGTCATACTCAAAATTCATTCCATATAATGGTATAATGGTCACTTAATAAACCTCTGCTCTGTAAAACTCCTATAACCTTTCTGTGAAGAACATATTACAAGCCCAGCCACATCATCTACCACTGCTGGTTACATTGCTAGCATCATATATTTGGCAGTTAGAGATATGGCTTTTGCAGAAATAAGCTGCATCTTTAACACAAACATGACTTTACATTGTGGGAGTACACAAAGGCAGGCTCTAGAAATAAAGTTCGAAGTCATACACGGACTTGTGCAAAAGTTGAAAAATCATGAAGATTGCTGTCTTCTGGGTTATTGCACCATGTAGTCTGGTAGATTTCCATCAACATTTCAGAGGTCATACTACCTCCGTCATCAGGGCGATGAATGTGCCAATTGAGCGGAAAGGGTCAGGTTTATGGGGACAAGGCAGTAACCGGAGTAGCCTGATCCTAGCTAGCCTGCTCGATTGACAAATTCATCGCCCTGATGATGGAGGCAGTATGACCTCTGAAACATTTGAGGAAATCTACCAGACTATACGGCGCAATAACTCAGAAGACAGCAATCTTCAGACTCACTGCTGTGAAAACCTCAAATCCTACTTGAAAAATCATATTGTTACACGATGAGCATTAGGGTTGAAGGAAGAGGTAACAATTTTTCTTGCCAACATGCTGCAAGAAAGTATGGCTCAATTGGTAGAAAAGCCTAATTATAATTTCTTTACATATCTTGACAATAAAAATGTCATGAAGAACCAACTTTTCTCATTATTATATAGTGTAAAGAGTAAGATTTGTGCATATTTAAAGAAGGAAAAGCCAAGTTATACTGCCAGAAGAGATGGCTGAAATTACCTCTTTTTAAATACCCTCAATGAGGTAAAAACATGTGTGAATCTTGGAATCATAAAAATCTTATTATGTTTCACTACAACTGGAAGGTCTGGTAAGGACCTGACAGATAAAACATAAATAAGAGTGCTGATGTGAATTCAGAACCTAGTTCTTTCTGTTAAGCAAAATAGGTTTGTACTATTATACAGTTAACTACAATTTTTATTTATCATTTAATTATTTTCATCCAACCTCAATATCCAGCCCAACATAATTTCCTTCATGTCACTACCCTAACGATACCAGGCGATCTATATCAAGCACAAAGTTCATCATTATGTAACATTTTAAACAATTTTCTTAAGCACTTATGATGAAGATATAAATGTTATAATTAGAGTTTTTAAATAACCATGTCATTTTTCACATTTTTCTTGTACTGAGAAATGCAAATTGTTTCTAATATTGCTGTTTTATGCACCTACTTCAATGTTTAATATTATAAAATTATGCCAATAAGTTCCTGGATGGGATTGAGATTAGCCTCTTCCATCAACTGAGTACGTATTTTCACCAGAAGACAGGAGGAGAGCCAGCTCCCAAAACGTAGTGGTCATATTTTAGAATATAAAACAATGGAACACGTCCAGATAAAGAACAATATTAAATGAAGATGACTGCCTAATGATAAAGACAGAAAGAACCTCTGAAATATTTGTAAACTTCAACAAGACCAGACAGTGCTACAGCCCAGAAAACAGCCATCTTCGGACTCACCTACATGAAAAGCTTAAATCCAACTTCACAATATTAAATGTAACACACCATCTTTAGAACACATTGTAAATTATTTTGCTTTTGAAAATAAAATCCAGACACACAATGAAACGTTTTAATTATATGAATATTATGTTATATTTCATAAGAAATTCCTATGCACATTCTAGCAAGCCTCAAATGAAAACAGCAGTAGCAGCAGCAGCAGCAGCAATGAGGGCAAAATCATTCAGAAATGAAACCTTGATTATGCAACAGCATCAGGATGGGTGCAGTGTGACAACCTGAGGCAACTTCCTATTCAGGGGACAAAGGGTGAAAAGAAGTTGCCTCTTCAGCAATTACATAAATTATGTGCACAAACATTCAGTCTCAGCCTTTCAGAACTTTGTACACATTTGACAGAAGTGTGATGTTATTCTAAAGTGACTAAAACTTATCACTTATTCTGCATGAATTAAAACTTTAACGATGCCAATTCCTACTGTACTTCTATTCATTTTAATTAACTTTTAATCAAAGTGGTGTTGTTATAACATGATTTTACTAAATCTATCATATAATTGTAAATTTCAGTAAACAATCATCCAACCTATATATTTCTCTAGGTTCAACCCAACTAAATTACGTTCTTAGGACCACTGTGTAATATCAGAAATTCAGCACACATGTCAAGGATCAATAGATAGTGCCCTGGAAAACTGAAAATCCTGAAAATGCATATCTATTCTGTGATTTAAACAAATGACAGGTGGTTGTTAGTTCCTCACAGGAGCAAGTAGTGTCTCATGGGCATAAGTCAGTTTCCAATACTTGTCCATTTTGTTTTACAGTTTTATTAACTTATTGAAGTCTTATCAGGTAGTTCTTTTGTTTTAGTAGTGTTTCAGTGTTGTTAAAAATTGAAAGCCCAAGGAACCAAGCATAAAATTTTTCAGAGACACGCTAGTCTTAGACTTTAAGGTATTTAATTATTTCAAGCAAAAGGCAGTAAATAGCAGGACAGTGAATGATGCTATCAAGTTTAAAAAATATGATGCTGCAAACTGAAAATCCTGGAAAAATACATCATTTCCCTTATAAAACGTGGGATATATATATATCCAATAAATGCATAGGACATTATAAAATAGCAACTTATCAACTTCATAAATACCTCAGTTTTATCTCCGTGTCATTTCTTTTTTGCACAAAGAACATAACTGGGAGGTCATGTCTGTCTTTCTGTCTGTTTTCACTCATTACAGCATTTATAAAAAGTGGCTCACTGTACAAACAAAGTAATACATAATAAGATATATATTTCATTAATATCTATAACTTTCATCTAAAACATGCATTTATGTTAAACAAAATACATGGAACAATAATATATGTTTCTAAAGCTTTACTGTCAGCAACAGAACATATGACTACAGTGTAATGTTGAATGGCTATCCCACTGATTAGTTCTATCAGTAGTACACATGTGTCTATAATAAACAAACGTAACAATCAATGAGGATTTATAATAGCAAAGAATGCATCTTGTTATAAAGAATTCCAATTTACAAATACTGTCAATTTTATGTTGCACTATTTACTTTCGTACTTCTAAACATGGCAAAACAGAGGTATCAAGTGAAGCAGAAAAGTGTAAGACCTTTAAAGGGTCCAATGGTTACAACAAAATTTACACGAATTTTGGTCAGCCTAAACGAAACAATATTCATTGAATTTATTACTATTGGATGGTGTAAAATGAAAAATAATGGAGTACATCTTTGCAAATGTATATTGATTTACTGTCTTCATGTTCAATTACTGCAAACACAAAACAATCCCATACATTTCTTCCTATTCATCTTAAGCTATGCAGTTGCTAACAAAGCTAATATCATTATCTTTT